CCAATTTTGTCAATTGACTCAAAAATGTCATTTAAAGCATTTTCCCTCTTGAGTTCAGGGTGATGTAGTTGTTGTGTCTCTTCAGACTCCCTTCATCTGGAACATTTCCAGAGACTCTGTCTTTTACCACACTGACATTTTTTTCAACAATACAGCACAACCTCCCCAATTCTTTATAAAAAAGCAAGAATTAATCCTTCTGGGTTTGTCTGATGCTTCCCCACAATGAGGTTCGGGTTACGCATAGCTGGTCAGAATGCTACATAAGCGGAGCCTGTCCTCAGCTTGTCCTATTTCCAGAACAGATAGATGGCTGTTCCTCATTGGTGATGTTAGTGTTGATCACCTGTTCAAGATGTTGTTGCCTCTCAGTCTTGACCTTTTGGTGTGACTCAAGAAGAGCCATAATTGGATTTTGTTCCCAGTAGAATGTCTGGATGATTCATCGTCAACAGTGTTCACTTTATAATAATCAACCACCGGCAGTGCCAGTCCACAGTCCACGATGCCTCTGGGCAGCATGCAGCTGTGGTCTGACTCTGGGGTCCACCAGCCAGCCTCAGGCATCAGCTGACCAGACACAGGTGGGGTCCAGCTAAGGCAGCTGGCCTTAGCCAGTCACATGCCACTGTGGTGGGTGCCACTGTCCCAAGGCCTTGGACACCATCAGCAGAGCCTGGAGGGGAGACTCTGAGGGAGGCAGGCCAATTAGGCCTCTCGAGCTTCTCAGACTTGCACGGCACAGCGCCCAGATCTTAGCTCTGTGCTTCTAGATTTGTTAAATGTCACCCGTGGGCCCATTCTACCTCCTCCTCAGGATCTCTGTGGGCGGGGCCCTGGAATTTGCAATTTCACAAGCATCCCAGGTGATTCTGAGGAACACTGAATCTTGAGAAGCAATGCTCTATGCCAGGGGTTCTCAAAGAATCCAGGGAAGGCCGTGAACTTGGGTGAAACAAACAAAAATCTTTCTTTCCCTACCTTCTAATGAAAACGTAGTGTTTCTTTCAATTACAAATGTATGCAAAAAAAAAAAAAAGGTCACAGATATTTTTAGAACTCATTACAGGAACTGCAGACATCTTGAATACTGTTTGCAATTTTCATGGTTCAAAATTACGGTAGTTGCAAGACCTGCTGCTGGCCTCGTTATTTAACGTATTGATAAAAAACCACATATATTACTGCCTCATATATTAGGTTTAAAAAAATCATTCCTAGAAGTACTTCAGCACAACTGTTTTCCTTTGTGATCTCATGTGTTTTGTTTTACGCGTCCAAAAATATTCTGAGAAGGGGCCTGCAGGCCTCACAGACTGCCAAGGGGGTTAATGGACATAGAAAATGACCCCCAAACTCCAGATCTTCTAAAGCCCCGAGTCTGTCTTCTCCCCTCCCAGAGGTCTGAACACTGGCCGCTGCAGAATGGAATAACAAAAGACAACATACAGCCCCTTGGAAGGGAATCTCAGAGTGACAGACGGGACTCTGGCCAGTGGCATGGACTGTATCTCTATTGCGTAACAAGTGCCAATCATGAGGGTTTTGTTTTTTTTTAATGTTTATTTTCGAGAGAGAGCGAGCGCATGTGGGTGCACATGCAGGGGAGGGGCAGAGAGGGAGACAGCGGATCTGTAGCGGTTCCTCGCTGACAGCAGTGAACCCATGAACTGTGAGGCCATGACCCAAGCTGAAGGTGGACGCTCAACTGACTGAGCCACCCAGGTGCCCCTATGAGGGCTTTTTTTTTTCTTTAAATGATCAAAAAGTTACCTACTTAGGATGCCTGGGTGGCTCAGTCACTTGAGAGTCCGATTTCACTCAGGTCATGATCTCATGGTTTGTGGGTTCGAGCCCTGCATGGGGCTCTGTGCTGACAGCTCAGAGCCTGGAGCCTGCTTGGGCTTCTGTGTCTCCCTCTCTCTGCCCCTTCCCTGCTCGTGCACTGTCTCTGTCTCTGTCTCTCTCTCTCCCTCTCTCTCTCAAGAATAAACAAACATTAAAAGAATTAAAAAAAAAGTTACCTACTTTTGACTTCACTGAATCCTTAACTAAAATTGGGGGAGGAGAACCCAACACCAAAAAAGTTGTGAGTCTCGCAGGGCAAGACACTTCCTGTCCCTTGTTAAAAATCACATATGATGAGGCGTAAAGACAAGAATACACACAAGAACTGACAAAAGAAAGGATACTAAGCAAAGAAACAAAACAAAGAAGCACCTCTGTCCAAAGACCCCAGAACGACTCTAAAAATGAGTTCCGATTTCTGATGGTAAGTAACAGAAGTAGACAGTATAAAGGGCACAAATCTTGAGTGAATCATAAATGATATTTAAAATATGTATATGCCCTTGTGTGACCATTCCCTGGATCAAGACAGAAAATATTGTCAGTACCCCAGAAGGCTCCTTCACTCACTTTCCCCACTCAATACCCAATCATACTCTGAAAGGTAACCATTCTCCTGACTTCTGTCACCACAATTCATTTTACTTGCTCTTGAACCTCACAGAAATGAAATCAGATCATGTGTATTTGCTTGCGTCAGGCTCTGTTCTTCAGCATCGAGTCTATGACATTCATCCAGGTCGGGGATGTAGGAACAGTTCATTCTCTCCTGTTGCCATGTAGCGGTCCCCCATACGAACGCCACAGCGTATGTATTCACCATTCAGTTGATGGACATACGGACTGTTTCCAATTTGGGGTCATTAAGAATAAAGTCCCATCAACATTCTTGTGTCTGTCTTTTGCTGGACATAAGCGCTCACTGCTGTTAGGTATACATCCGGGGATCAGGGGAGACAAACGTTCAGTTTTAGTATATGTTGCCAAACTTCCAAAGGGGATGTGCCAATTTACACTACTGGTAAGACGGGGAG